CTAGGTGACGATTTTTTCAAGATCATTCTAGAAAACTGGTCCCCTTATTTTTGCCTCTGTCTAGAAGCTGGACTTGGTTACTTTCTGCCCTAAGAAATATGTCTTAAAACTTCCTTTGGAATCTTTTCAAATCCATCACGCAGCACAAGACCATGAGGAGGCAGATGGTATCGCTCCATGTCCTGATACCAGTGGTGGCAGGAAGCTGCCTGGATGCCAATCCTCTTGTTCTACAGATGCTGCTGCAGTAGTTGCCACTGGTTACAACAGCTATCCCCAGTTCCACTATGAGAAGTTATTTGCACCGTGTTTTGCTTTGCTATTGCCCCTAGAATCTCTCTTGGAACAGAATACCTCTGGCAGGGATGGGTTAGGCTAGGTTCAGTTAAGCCGAAGAAACAAACCATGAAACCTCAGTAACTTAAGACAGTTTCATGTTTTGTCGTGTGATGGTGTGATGCAAATCGGGCAGCCCTCCTTAGGGACGTTCCCCCTACTGTGGCTCCAGGACCCGGGCAGTGTCTCCCATCTCAGGGCCTTTCCTTCAAGACACAGTCATGATGGGAGGAACTCACACTGTTCCTAACTGCCCAGACCCAGGTCACAGTGCTGCTCCCATTCGCCGTGCCCTTGCCAGTCCATGGCCCTCGTGTAAATGCAGGGGAGTGGGGTGGGGGGGTATAGGAGAACACCCGGAGTGGATGGGGAGCATTAACCATCTCTGCCACAAAGGAGTTGTGTGTCCTTAGTAGGGTGCATGGATTTGTTCTTTCTTCAATGAACAAGTTTGTGTTTGGAACACACGGCAGTGAGAACCTGAGATGGGGCTGAACAGAGCCAAGGAAGGGCTAATGAGAGGGAGGTGCTCCAAGGAGAAAATACCAGAAAGAGTAATTTAATTCTGTCTAGAATTGGACTTAATAAATTTATGTTTAGCTTTTAGCCGCCACAACCACCAATTTACATGCTTCTAATGGTGGTCCCTACTTTGACAAAAGTAGGATCTATTTTTCAGATGTTGTATGTCAAGTTAAAAGAAAAATCTAGGAAATTTGAAGTGCTGGCACGTAAATCATGAGATGAAATGGAAGCCCGGCAAATTTAATTCTTGTAGCCTCAGATTTTGAAATCTAGGATTTGGTGTGGTTTCTCAGGACCCCTACCCAGAAAACTGGGGAAGCAATTCACTTAGCTAACAGTCTGAGGAATCCAGTGAATTGCACATTTTCTTAAGCGTTGGAAGCCATCTTACAGATGCAGTCAATCCTCTCAGATTACTATATAGGGCTGAGGCCCGGAGCGGTCAAGTCAGTAGCCCAAGATTAGGGGCAAAGCTCTAAATTATCAGAACCCCACTGTGTACATGTCACACTGGGCTGGGCACCGAATCCAGGAAGCTCTCTTGACATATATTCCTCCACATGGAACAGGAGAGAATGCCTGGGGTCTGTTGGCTCCATCCCCAGCCTTCTGATGATGAGAATTCACACAAGCCGTCTTGGTTCAATGGGCATCTGGTCATTTCTTTGAAGTCTCCAGGGAATGTCCTGCTGCGGGTCCGAGCACTGCTACCTGTTTTCCTGGGCATTACCCCATTTCACAGATGAGGAAGCAAAGCCATAAGGATCAGGATGACCTAGTGAGTTAGATCCCCAGCTAGGACTGGAATCCATTTCTGGTCCATGAACTTGCTCTCCTATAACACCCCCCCCCCAACTGGGGGCTCAGGTGGCAGCTAGGGAAGAGTCTCCTGCAAAGAGCACCAACTGGACATGGAGTTGCAGGAGGAGTGGACGTGACCCAGGCTTGGGTGCCATCCAGGGGCACCAGAACCGGGCTCAGCCTCCCTGTAAGCCAGCTCTCAGTCCCCAAGGCCTTTATCTCAGGCTTCCCAGAAGCAATCATTTTTATTCCCACCACTGTTTAAGTGCAAAGCAACCATTTGTGGCACAGTTCCAAGTTCCCACACAAAGGGTACCAATAAATCTAATTTTTAAAAAGCGAATAAACTTTCTGGATTGCTGCAGCCATTTAAAGAAAAGAAAGCAAGGTACCATTTTCAGAATGAGAGAAGCTTCCTAACTGAGACCGTTAGCTCGCCCCCAGACGTGGATCTGTGACCCTCGTTTATACGCTGACACCCAGGCACCCAAGGACTCGGTTTGGCCACTAATCACACATGGTATTTCGCAGGTGGGACGTTAGCCTTGGGGCCGGTAGTGCAAGCTCCTTTGCACGCTGGGCTCTGTGTGAGAGAGAGACCGAGGTGGGCGCGTGGGGTGTTAGTGAGAACGGGGCACACCCGCGTGTGAAGCGTTGCGTGGAGCTGGAGAGAGCGCGCCCAGGCCCCTCACCACCTGGGTCACTTCTTTAGCTGCTGCCTCATCTGGGAAGTGGGGCCTGGGAGGAGCCCGGGCCGGCGGGGCAGCCTTCCATCGCAGGCGCAGGCCGGGTCAGCAGCCACGGGCAGGGCCGCAGGGCCCCCGGGGGAGGCCACCCGGCAGCGTCACCCTCGGCCGCGGCCCAGCAGCTCGGGCGCAGGCGGTGGGCCCCTGGCCTTGCCCCCCCGCAGGCCGGGCTTCCGACGGAGCAGCCGGGGTGAAGGGGCCCTGTCTGAACAGAGGGCACCCCCCTCCGGGAAGGAGCTGGGCCAGCACACGGGGCGGGGGGGCTCCCCTGATTGCCTCTGCCGTCGGGGCAGTGTCCCCCCAGCAGGCCCTCTCCCCTGCTCCCTCCTCTGTGCTCACCTGGGCCCGCTCTCCCCCGCACCCATGGCCCCGGTCATGCACCTGGCGAGGTGCTGCCGTCCCACAGGCGCCCGACCCCTGCAGCCCGGCTGCCACCCCCAAGCCCCCTTGTCTGGTTTCTCCGTCTGGGCCTCTCCCTCCTCTCTCTGGCAGGGCCTCCAGCCTCACTTTCCCTCCCGGCCTGGACTTAGCCTCAGTTGCTCTGTCCTTGCACTTCCCGCCTGGGCTCTGGGAGCCGCCCTGGAGGCCCCTCTTCCCTCTCCCCTCAAACTCCCTGTCCCCCACACTCGCTTCCTCCCTGGGCCCAGCCTGGACATAATAGCCCCCGCAAGTCTTCACATCAAGACCGGTGGGTTTGTTTTTTTTCTTAAGATTTTATTTATTCATTCATGAGACACAGAGAGAGAGGCCGAGACACAGGCAGAGGGAGAAGCAGGCTCCACGCAGGGAGCCCGACGGGGGACTCGATCCCGGGTCTCTAGGATCCCGCCCCGGGTCGAAGGCCGGCGCTTGACTGCTGAGCCCCCCGGGTGTCCCTAAGGGCCAGCGGTCTTCAAAGCAGCCGAGACTCTGCAGGTCACACCATCAACACTTAGACACCTCAACTCCTGCCCGGGGTGGCGCATGGGGGGCCTCCCTAAACTGCCGGGGCTCTTTTGGGAGAGGACGCTTTGCCGTTATTTTCTGAGCTCTTCGGAAGACCTCAGTGCGCGGCCACCGCACTCTGATCCAAGTCTCCCAGCGTGTGACCAGCCTCCGCCAGGACGGGCCACCCCAGAGGAGCCGCCTCTGGACCCGCGGCGGCGGCGGGGCTGCGAGTCAGCTCTGCAGGCCTTGGAATTACTCCAACGTGAGATTTTATTAAAACGCCCGTTCTAGGGGCAGCCGAGCCGGAGAAACTACAGGGAGGGACATAAAAACAAACCTAGCAAATTAAAAGTAAAGAGAAACCAATGTGCAGAGGTGATCCTTCATTCTTTCCACCCTCTTTGCGGGCAGATGGGAGGGTGGCTTTGGGCTGGCGCGGCCCAGCTGGTGTCAGCCAAGCGACCCGAGCAAAGATCATCCCAAGGATTAATACAGCTACGGATGGAAGCAAAAATATAGGCCATTTTAGGTAAATTCACAGAGCAGAAGGGAGCCATTCTCCAGCCCAATAGCACATTTTAATGGAGTTACTTGCCTTGGAATCCTATTTAGTGTTGAAGGATTCTGTCCATAAATTATTTTTTTTAATTTTTATTTATTTATGATAGTCACACAGAGAGAGAGAGAGAGGCAGAGACACAGGCAGAGGGAGAAGCAGGCTCCATGCACCGGGAGCCCGATGTGGGATTCGATCCCGGGTCTCCAGGATCGCACCCTGGGCCAAAGGCAGGCGCTAAACCGCTGCGCCACCCAGGGATCCCCCATAAATTCTTCCTGAAAGTTCGCCTCAACTCTTCAGGCTGTGATTCCAGCCACGGCCTCTTGTTCTGTGCTCCTGAGACGAGGAGGCACCGTCTTCTGTGTAATCTACGATAATGCACTAAACCCCACCAGCGTTACTTCTGTCTTTTCCAACGAGGCAAAAAGGACTTCCTGGCCACCATGAGTCAGACTCTTCATCCTTGTCCCACTGCGCTGCGTTGACTCTAGGCCGTCGTCAGTCGGCTCACCCACAGGCCTCCTCATGTGCCACTGCCCCTTCCTGGTCCTCCTCCCTCTACCACGTTTAATCAGAACATCCTGGGAGGGAAGGTTCTTTCTAAAATTACAAACCTCCCCACAAACATAAAGCATGGGCATAGCGATTATTTCCAAGGCTGCCCGTTCCTGGGTTCCTTTGTCACCGTGACATGCTATTTTCTTATCAAATGACTAGCCTCATTTTGACCCTCACTTTGTCATTAGTTAACTCTTCAGTGAATTGATTACTTGTCAGTCATGGGTAACACTTTTTTTTTTTTTTTTTAAGGTAAGCTCCATCACCAACTCACAACCATAAGATCAAGACCTGAGCCAGGGGATCCCTGGGTGGCGCAGCGGTTTGGCGCCTGCCTTTGGCCCAGGGCGCGATCCTGGAGACCCGGGATCGAATCCCACGTCGGGCTCCCGGTGCATGGAGCCTGCTTCTCCCTCTGCCTGTGTCTCTGCCTCTCTCTCTCTCTCTGTATCATAAATAAATAAAAATTTTTAAAAAATTAAAAAAAAAAAAAAGACCTGAGCCGAGCTCAAGAGCTGGGTGCTCGGCCTACTGAGCCTCCCCGGCGCCCCGCTCGTAGCTATCACTTCTGGATCGTTTCTCTCCCACTCTGTTTACTTGGGGGAGAATGTCTCGAAAGCACATTGTAGAAGCCTTTTGGGAAGACTTCTCTTTATTTTACACTTTATTTCACCATTAGGGAAAAAGATCCTCGAGTTTGTAGCTGAAGGGGAACTTCTCTTGTTTTAGACACCAGTGTTTTACTGGAAACCTCCGCATATCTGTCAGGAAAGTAACCAAGAATTCTCCCAGAAACCAAGTTCTCTTCATTCGTGACAGGTGATAACCCAGGGAGGAAGGGTAGCTGACTTACCTTGTCATTGTGATCGGGTCTCAATCTTGTTTCCTGTCACCAACCCCAACACAACCCTGACTTCTCAGAACCTCCAGGCCCCCATCACTCCCCAGCAGGCCCCTTCCCAGCCCCTTCTCAGTGCCTAGAAAGCATCCCCACCCACCATACTCAACCCTCCTCCTTCTTTTGAAGGCTCATTCATGTCCCCAAAGCCAACACAACTGTCACCTTCCCGGCCACCTTCCCAACAAAGCTGCCCATCAGTCTTCCTCAGCAGAACCGGGTTCTCTGAGGTCCTGTAGCCCATTTTGTTCCTGTCCCTGAAACAAAGCCTTCCTGCTTGGATGGCTGCTCCCCTGGACTGTGGAGCCTCCAGCAGTGGGGAACTTCCCTCATCCTCTGAGCATCTTAGTGTCCAGCACAGGACCTGAAATAGGGCCATGCTCCCATCTGGTTGGGGGGAGGCTTGATCTGAAATTCAAGGGGTCACAGAGGCCAACATGGATTCTCTCTCACTCCTTTTTTTTTTTCTCCCAGGATACAGTCCTATAGTCTTGGACAGCATCTCTCAATGAATGGTGAGTCTCACCTATAGCACAACAATACAAGATGGGCCTTTCCTTGCCACCCTCCCACTGGGGCTCCTGATTTTCCGTAGCCCAGAAAATGATTCCACTTACCCACCTCCACCCAGCAGGCTAAAACAACTCCCACTGGACAGGAAGATTGGCGACCACCCTTTCTTGTTCGCTGTGGGGGTGAGCAGCACCCATGGCCTCCGACATCCTCGGCCCAGTGCAGACCTGGAAGCTCCACTGCACTGGCCAGTGGTCAATGTTGGCGGAACCAGTGAACAATCACAATGTTGAGCTATTTTTTTTTAATTTTTCACAAAGATCTCTAGAAGGCAAGTAGTTTATCATTTCTCCGCCTGAAATGACACAGCACGATAGACAGTGTAGGATGCTGCGATGCCGGCTCTTTCCTGTCCTCCAGAGTTCCTGCAGCACGCCCCAGGGAACCCAAAGCAGGGCCCATGCAGTGTGGCCTCTGCAAGTCCTAGGTGCTCAGTCCACGCTCAGCAGCACCAGCACTGCTAAAGTCAAGCTCATCGTCCAGAAGGTCCCACCTTGGATCCCAAGATCCAGAGATGGATCCAGGTGGGGGTTCCAGACAGGGTTTAACTTCCAGAGGCAAAGAGCAGGTGCCACAGCCGGAGATAAGGCCACTGACACTGCTAAGGGCAAATGTCACGACTTAAGACTAGAGTGGAGACAGGAAGTAAATGAGGTCAAGGAACCCCTGGATTGTTGAAGAGACGGCTTTTTAAAAACAAACGCGGGTGTGCAGAGCACAATGTTCACAACAAAACAGCGCTGCTTGAGATCCCAGACCCAAGCAGGGGGAAGCAAAGGCTGGGCTAATGGAGCCAGAACTTTATTCACAGTAGAACAGTCCTAATCTAAAATTCTAGAATTTAAGACCAATATCTTTTAAGAATGAGAATTCATAAACCCATCAGACCAGCTGACAGTAAAAGGGAAAAAAAAATTCTCCACTAAACAAAACCACACAAAAGTCAATTCAATCTTTCTCCACCCGCAACCTCCCGACCACCTCCGACCCTATTAAAAAAAAATACATCATGAAAGTCAGGCACACTTGCACACACTCAAATATGCAAACAAAATTCAAAATACCCAAAGAAACCTTGGAGATCACCTAAGGGTTTTTCACTAGCTCCCCAGATGCTCTTTTTTTTTTTTTTTTTTTTTTTTTTTTTAGAAAAGAAAAAGAGGCTCTTACAGGTATATCTAAGCAGTAAAGACTGAAGTGGGCTGAGATCCCCTTCCTCAGCCTCCCTGCCTCCCAGTCAATGTGGAAGAATATGGACAGTGAGTCAAGAAGGAAGCCAAGGCTGGTGTGGTGTGGAAGGCGAGGGGCCTTGCTGTCCTGCGGCCTGGGGGTGTCACCAGGGAGCGGGGCTGGGTTTACCCAGCAACCCTGCCCGGGAGCTCTGCTCCAAGGCATGAAGCCCGGGGAGGAGTGTGTGGGGAGGGTATTTCTGGAGGCAGAATTTTACTGCTTGCAGGCGGGCGAACACAAACCTGAGGCGAAGCATCATGAGAGATCTTGAGCATCACAGATTGTGGAATTGGCACAGAAGGTAGCCCAACACTGCACCTTCCGGAAAATCAATCTATGAGGAAAGCAGAGAGGTCCTCTGCCCGGGATGCTGGCTCCGAGAGTTTCCCTGGTTGTTGGCCTCAATCAGTTGATCGGTCCATTATTTCTGAGCAAGGTCTGTCATCCGAAATGGAAGAGCATTTGTTTCCAGATGGTGAGACTCTCCCACTCAACAGGCCTCCCTGAAAGAGCCAGGCTGGGAAATGCAAGAGAACCAGATCTCACACTCACTACTCCCCACGGTGCTAGGAAAGCTTGAAGAATCTGTTTCTCTGCCCAATCCTACAGATATTTCCCCCACATTTTGTAGAATAAATAATTCAAAATAGAATGAAAGATCCAGGCAAGGGCAGTTGCTGGCCTGAAAATGCGCTCTGCCTCTTAGCAGTGACTCATAAAACTCACACTCACAATTCACGCCCAGCCTCAGGCGTGAAGGGGAGAGTGTGGCAGGCCACAGAGGCACAGTGACCCCTGGGACAGAAGTTCGACACCGGCCCGAACCCCCTTATATATTAAATTTCTCTTCATAAATAGAGCATCTGAACTCGAGTGACCACAGTAAAAGGCCAAAGTCTGAGTTCTTTTTTCCTCAAATATCTACACAAACCTTCAAATATCTACTAAACTCTACCCACATGGCAAACTTGATGCCTCATGATGAGAGCTTCAATCGCCATGATAGTCAAAGGCCAAGTCTCAGACAGACCCAAATACTCATCCCTATTGGATAACGAGGACTATGATGAACAGCTCACTTCGGCTCATCACAGAATTCCTTTAAACCGAAGCCCAAATTAATTTGATCTTAAATGATCTGGTCCCCCTGACCTATAAACTTGTTAGGTGCACAAGTTTTCAAGGTCACACTTATGATAGAAAACAGGCCCATGAGACCAATGGATGTGATCCGGTTGGCTCGGCTGCCTTGCCTGCCCACTTACAGATGTGACTACCTTCCTCAGGGGTGAGTGTCTGGGCCATACTGTTCATTCTTAATGTGGGAAGCAGTAGCATATGGATAATACACTGAGGGGCTAGGTATCTGGATTGGGGTTTGTCTCGATGGTTGCCAGGAAATTGATCTTCTAGCCATCCTAGGAAATTTGGGTTAAGTTTCCTTCTTATCCTCCCCTGTCAAGAATATATTAATTTTGCTCAATCACAGTAGACCACTTTGATTAGATAACGGGGGACACTAAAAGAAACTGGAGCAAACAGATGAATAGCCTGTTAGAAAAATCAAGGGTGGTGAATCCCTCCATGGAGGCTTCATAGCTCATCCTTCGAAGGCACAGTGTCCACGGAGGTTGGCGACGGCAGGGCCTCTGTGTTTTTGGCATTGCGGTGGATGTGACTTTGCTTCCGGGACTTCCAGGAATGGGTCCTATCCCAATCGGTGGCCACTGTCTCATTGTCCCAGATGGTCGAGGTCTCTGTGTCACTCAGATACCCCGGCTGGCCCGTGTAGTGTGTGGGGTAGATGAGCAAGGGTTCGGCAGAGAAGGCTTTTAGGTCCCTGGATTCATAATACTCCTTGTACTCAGCTCTGCAAACAAGAGGCATATGGGTGCGTGAGGGGGTAGGACATTTAGAGAACAGAGGAAAAGAGGAGAGGGGTCCTGCTGGTTGTCTCTTACATTGGCATGGATGCCTTCAATTATTTTTAAAGTTGTGTCCTTTGTGGAAAAGTTTAGTCTACAAACACAATAAAAATTTCTTTAAAAGCCTTCAGAGGAGGGGCACCTGGGGTGGCTCAGTGGTTGAGCGTCTCCCTTCGGCTTAGGTCGTGACCCCAGGGTCCTGGGATCAAGTCCCACATCAGGATCTCCATGGGGAGCCTGCTTCTCCCTCTGCCTGTGTCTCTGCCTCTCTCTGTGTGTCTCTCATGAATACATAAATAAAATCTTAAAAAAAAAAACAGCTTCTAGATGATCTAAACAAACACACAAAGAGAAAGGTCAGGATATTTCTGTTATATTTGGATAGACTTGTTTAAAAGATAAATTTTAGGTCTTACTCTAAAAGCTGAGTGGGACATAACAATAGATAAATGTGATCACTTTGTGGAAGATGCCCTGTTCCTGGATTAATAAATTAGTTGAGATCTGAGCAGCAGGGGTGGGATAAGTGACACAGTGTAGGCTTGGAGGCATGCCAACTTGGCTTTGCATCCCTCCTCCCTGTGGGTATAAAGGGGACAATGACTCGGCCTCCCCTCCCTCCCCCAGGCTCCTGCGCAGATTATACGAGTGGTCTGCTCCGCCCCTAGCTCAGTCAGTGCTCCGTGGGTGTTAGTTTCCTTTCTTTTTTTTTTTTTAATAAATTAATTTTTATTGGTGTTCAATTTACCAACATACAGAATAACACCCAGCGCTCATCCCGTCAAGGGGCACTGTGTTAGTTTCCTTTCTGTTACAAGGATGGTGGTTGGCCTCCATGTTCCTGTGAGGACGCAGATACAAAGTCAGTTGTATCGAACAGGGTGAGGAGCTAGCTCCAACTGAGGACAGGAGACAAAATGACCGAGATGCAGGACAGGAATTCTCAACCACTCAGACAAAGCCCATCTAGTAGGGAGATCACCCGGCAACTGAGAGAAGGAGCAGAGGCTAGAACCTGGTTTCCTGTTCCTTAATGAATTTATTGATTGAGAAGCTATTATGTGTAGAGTTTGGACGAGGTTCTAAGGACACAGGGATGTGAGACTCTTCCTGCCTCAATGGGCTCACAGGTTACTGGGGAGACGGACAGGTAAGCCACCAACCTCCATACCCTTCGAACAATGCTAGCTTAGAGTAAGCTCCGGTGTTATGGGAACCCTGAGCATCGTCCTGCCTTCTTCCAGAGATGCCCCACTCAAAGGCCACCTCCACCCTTCCTGAGCCTCTAACACACCTTGGTGACTGCAGGTATCACAGCCATCACGAGGACTGTTCACAAGTCTGAATTCCTGACCTGACTGTGAGCTCTGCGAAGAGGGGGGCCCCTGCCAGGCCAACAAGCATCCCCAGTGGACTGAGAAGTGAACTGAAAACTTTAAGGTGCTCAGGAAGATGGCTTTCAACTCCAGGTGTACAAGTTTACCAAAAAAAAAAGGTTAAAAACCAGGAGAGGACCGAGCATCTTATGTCCAGTTAAACTACATACTGGGTATTACGGAGGACCCCTATGAAAGATTCACCGTTTCTGCCTCAGCTTCCTCTTCTGTACAAGGGGGTAATCATTACACTCAGGTCAGCTCTCTGAGTCATGATTCTGGAAAGATCATTGAGGAAAGCAGTACAGCTTTAGAAAATATCGTGTACTGCCAAGAAACTGAGTACCAGAATATATGAGCAGGGATGGGGGGGTGCCCAAGCCAGGCAGGCAGTGCAGGGAGACTCACACAGGATGCTTGTTGTACATGATTGGCAGGAACTCGTCCACTGGCAGCATCTTCCCAAAAGGATCGGCTCCAACCAGTTTCTGTGCTCCTTCCAGAGAGATGACATAGCCCAGAGTCCAGTAGGAGTAGTCGGCTTCGACCAGATTTCCCACGTTGGGCACCGCTTTCTCTGGCTCCTTCACCTGCATCCTCTTCCTACCGATGTAGCTAAAAGGAAGCAGACGGAGGAGAAACACTCCCATGTGAATATTAGACATCTGTTAGAACCGAGCATGGGTCTGCAGATAGTTCTTGAAAGCTTGGACCAACGGCGTCTAACATCCAAAGTATCCCACCACAGAGCACGCCCCATCCACCCGCTATGACTGTCACCTGCCATGAACGGGGCCACTTTGCTGGCTCCATTTATCAACATCCCAACTGCTCTTGCCTAGGACAGGCCTCCAGCCTGGAAGTCAAATTATAACTAAAAGATCACTTGGATCATTTTTGCAAAGATGGTAAGGGACTGCCAGCTGTGTTTACAGAGGTTGGAAGTAGACAAAAAAAAAAAAAAAAAAAAAAAGGCCAGATGTGAGATCCTGAGTTTTCAAGTCTCTAGAGTCTCAGTTTCTGATGTTCTTTGGGGCAGCCCTCCAGATGCTGACAAAAAAGGATGTGGGAGAGAAACAGCCTGTGGTAAAAGACCAAGGAACCCAGTGGCCCCAAGGGGGTCCTTCCTGGGGAGAATGAGTGACAAAGCCTGCCTGGCTTTCTCTTCCTCAAGCGCACCTAAGCTCTGCCCTCACTTTGTTCTAAGAAAAGCACCCAGGTTGGTCCTGTCCTCCTCGGACACAAGATGTACCCTCCGCCATTCCAGGGTTCCCACAGGCTACCCATGGATCTATGATCCCTCACTTTTGTCTGGAACTTGTCTGTCTTCCACTTGCCTGGAGCAAGTTGAGGAGGTAAGGGCTTCCTGCCTGGAGGCAAAGCCGACTTCCTCTATTTTGCCTTAAAATGATCTCATTCAACAGTTAAAGAATTCCTCTTGTCAAAACATCCCAGGATTTGTAGAATAAGTCATTGTTCACCTTCTCAGGAATCAAACACAGATCCTCTCAGCCACTGTCCCTTGAGACTACAGAGTCTCAATTTCTCTCATGTACCATCAAGTGGAAGAGATACTCCCACTGAGCACTTGAGATGTGACTAGAGTGACCGGAACTGAGTTTGTCCTGATTCATTTTACATAGTTTAAGCTGAAATTTTAAAAGAAAACTGAAGATGTGTAAGATATTTTTTCCATTAAACAAAACAGTTTCGGTAGGACTACAGTTTATTTAAGCAGTTGAAAACTTAGCATCTAGATTAGATTGAAATATGTTGTAAGCATAAAATACATACTGGATGTTAGAGAGGATAGAAAAAAATGTAGGGGCACCTGGGTGGCTCAGTTGGTTTAGTGTCTGACTTGATTTTGGCTCAGGTCATGATCTCAATGCTGTGAGATCAAGCCCTGTGTTGGGCTCCATGCTGGGTGTGGAGCCTACGTAAGGTTCTCTCTCTCTCTCCCTCCCCTTGCCCACACCCCTCTCCCTCTAAAAAAAAAAAAAGAAAAAAGAAAAACAAAACCACATAGACTATCGATTGATTATTGATTACATGTTAACTATGGATTACACTTTAAAGTACTAATATTTAGTGGTGTTGGAGTAAATAAAATGTATTATTAAATTCACCTAATGTATTTTTCACCATTTGAATAGGATCACTGGAAAATTTTAAATGACATATGTGGCTCATGTGATATCCCTGTTGGATAGCACTGCCCTAGATGATTCCAGTGGCTTGTTCTACTCTTCCTATTTACTATTTCCTTTTCTGGAGAAATCTAACATAGCTGGCATGGACAGTTTATCAGCTTTCATGTTTTGAGCTTCGGTAACTTTAATTTTAGAAAGAGACACATGAAGGGTAGTTGGGTGGCTGAGTTGGTTAAACGATACACTCTTGATTTTGGTTCAAGTCATGATCTCAGGAACATGAGATCGAGCCCTGCATCGGGCTTTGTGTTAAGCAATAGAGTCTGCTTAAGACTGTTCTTAAGACTCTTCTCTGTCCCTCCACCCCCATCCCCACTCATGCTCAAAAAAAAAAAAAAAAAAAAAAAAGGAAAGGAAAAGGTGAAAAATTTGAAACCACTGTCATTCTTTACATAATTGATATCAGTGGAATATTTGGACTTGGCCAATCCGTGAAATTTAGGAAAGATTTTTGTTTCTGTGTCCCTATCGTTCCCTATATTCATATCCTTATCCAATCATTGTGTTTTCTTGGATGTGTTGGTAATTTGTCCCAAGAAATGCACCAGCTAAACCACAAGTGGAGAAGGACATGTGCCGATCAGAAGCCTTAGACTCCCCAAGTTGAGTCGTCTGATTCCAAGGCTTACGTCAAAGTTGCCTTTGCGGGTCATGTGAGTGTAAAATGGCTTCCAGGCTCCATGCTTGTGAGGTGTAGCCACAGGCTGCAGAGCTATAGACTCAGACTGAGGTGTAGGACTTCTGGAGGTTTATAAGAACAAACAAGGATCCTGAGGGACAGTGCAGAGTCTAATCACATGGCTGATATCTGACAGGGAGCCGGTCTCTTTTTACTACACAGTACTGATTTCTGGGTCTATTCCCCGTGGATTAGTTGAGCCATTACTAGGTTTCTTTTGGGCTCAGAATGGTATGTTTTCTGAGACAACAAGTATTCCACCTGGACCCATAGTTAACTTTCCCTAGGAGGATGGGAGGAGTAGGGACAGCTGGTCTGCTGCGGCCACTCCAAAGGAATGGGCTCTGATTTGATGAAATTGCCTTTGACACACAGCTGGGAAGTGTACATAATGCTTGGGAACTTTCTGCCTCATTGGAGAGAAGGATAAAGTGTCATTTGGTTTAAAAAGAAAATGAAAGAGAGGGAGAGGAAGAAAGAGATGAAGAGAGGGGCAGGGGGAGGAGAGAGAGACAGAAACAGAAACAGAGATTTAATTCCCAGAGACAGCTCTCAGAGCATTAACTAAATGTCAGTTCGAAACCAGCATTACCCGTAAGCCTGGTTTTCCTATGACGGCCTCTGACCCTCCATCAAACCCAGCTCAGTGTTATTATTGTTTGCGCGCTCCCCTTCCCAAGAATGGCACTCTCAGCCCCCATCCTGTCAGGCTACAGAGGAAATCTGCTCTCAAGTGTGACACAGGACTTCTGCCCTTGAGCGAATGCCACTCCCCTCTCTCTTCACACCTCTCCATGCACCTGTTGCTTCACTAGTGGGATTTCTGCTGTGCTCTCACATGGGTGCTCAGTCTGAAGACACTTGAGCAGCAAGCAGGCTCCCGGTCTCACAAAGAATCTCCCACAGTTTCCTTCTCAGTCCATAGAGTATATAGATGGAGAAACCAGGGCCTGTTCTCCACTCTTTTCTTGTTTCTGGGGGCATTTTATGGAGAGATAACCCAGAAAGTGGAAACATGAGCTGTCGTCCTATCAGCTGGAGAGATGGGGCTCATTGCCCCTTGAAAAGGACTGAATCCTCTCAGTCCTCTGGGATAAGCTTGTCTTGTAACTCACATCAGTTCCCAATCCAGCTGAGCCTGGTCGATGTCATCCATCAGCTTCATCAGCTTCTTCTTAAACTGATGTTCAAAGCGCACGTCGTCCTCAATGACAAGAGTCTTCTCCAGCTCCCGGTCAATTACCTGTAAAGGTCATCAGTGGTAAGAGACCCCATGAGAAGTCTGATGCCTATTTATTAGATAAACGTAGATTAAAAGGTCAAGAGTATGGTAGCATAGGATGTAATAGCTCAAAACTGGAATCTAAGCAAATGCCACCAACAGTAGAGCGGATAGATAAACTGGGGTATGTTTACAGCAATGAGGATGTATGATCTATGATTAAATGCAATGTTATAGATGAATTTCAGAAATGTAATACTGAGAGGATATACCTCAATACCCTATGGTTCCATTCACATAAACTGAAGTACAAAAGCAGACAAACTGTTCTGTGCTGTTTGAAGTCAAGATGGTGGTTACCCTTGGGTCCTGTTCCCTAGAAGGAAATATGGACAAGGTACTTCTAGGGTGCTGGTAACCTGCTTCTTGGTCTGGGTGTGGGTTAACATGGCTGTATTGTTTATTCAGTTTGTGAAATTCCATTGGCCTATATATTATGATCTATTTAATTTTATATGTATCCATTACATTTCATTTAGAGTTTAAAGGTAAAAAAAGATAGGCATAGACTCTGTCAAAGTGGGAAGACATTCACAGGGCCCTTCTTGAGGTACTTTCTCTTTTCTTATGGGAACTGACCAAGTCAAGAACTCCAATACCTCCATCCATCAATATCTGATCTCTAAGCCATGGGTTCAAGTCCTGGTTTTGCCACTTCTTACCTAGACAGATATTTAATTATTTTCTCTTGGGTAAAATGGGCCTATGCCTCCTGACCCACTTTATATGATTTCTGTGTGACTTCTTGTATGAAATCATTTAATAAATGAGAACATGCTACATGCACGCAATATAAGGCATTCCTACTAAGGATAAGGACACACCAAAAAGGAGTATGGTTTCTTGAACATGGGGATCTTCCCCTGTTACCATCCCAAGTGGCCACAAGGCTACCTCTCCCTGTTTATTGCTGGCCTTGTGTCAGAGGGACATGAAGCAACAGAAACTTCCAAGCATACTTCCAGAACAGGTACGGGTTCACTTCATATCTGGCCCTAATTCATTTACAAAGTTCCACTCTCCATCCTCCTCATTACAAAGCTGCATATCTAAATAAAGCATTATTTACCTCTTTCCAGACAGAGTAGTGGCTGAGAAAGCAGCCGATTTCACCCCTAGTTAGAGGTCTGGAGGAGTAGGGATCTCGATATCCAGGTAGCATTTCAATATTCAGGGCCTTCAGCTGGCTTGTGTTGAGTGCCCTGCACAACAGAGAACATGTCTGCAAATTAAGAAGTTGAGACGTCCCCACTACAGAAGCCAGAAAGAGTTCTGGATGTTCCTCAGAGCCCTCTGCACATTGGGGAAGACTTCTCAGGTTTCCTATCACTCCTCAAGAGCTCCTCAGGGTTAACTCATGGCAGCATTGCAAGTTTTGCAAGACAAGAGGGTGTCTTCTACTTGGTATACGCCTCACAATTGCCAATGTAGTTCTAAATATCACCTGTTTTTTTATTTTTTATTTTTTTTATTTATTTATGATAGTCACACACACAGAGAGAGAGAGAGAGAGAGGTAGAGACAGAGGCAGAGGGAGAAGCAGGCTCCATGCACCAGGAGCCCGACGTGGGATGTGATCCCGAGTCTCCAGGATCACGCCCTGGGCCAAAGGCAGGCGCCAAACCACTGCGCCACCCAGGGATCCCGTATCACCTGTTTTTTTGACAGCTTTGAAAAAGTATTTTCCTGGGGATCCCTGGGTGGCTCAGCTGTTTAGTGCCTGCCTTCGGCCCAGGGCCTGATCCTGGAATTCTGAGATTGAGTCTCACATCAGGCTACCTGCATGGAGCCTGCTTCTCCCTCTGCCTATGTCTCTGCCTCTCTCTCATGAACAAATAAATAAAATATTTAAAAAAGGAAAAGTAATTTCCTAATGAAGGAAAGTGGCTAACAGCATTAAATACTGGAGAGGATGAGGACAGGAAAGAACTGTGTACATGTGTGTCTTTCTTTTGAACCTAAATTTAAAAAAAAGTTAAGAATAAAAGTAGCAGAGACGAACTTGTGAGCAGGAGAGAAGTGACTCACTATAGGTCTATCTAGTTGATCTACAGATTCAATGCAATTCCTATCAATATTCCAGCTCTCTTTCTTTTTGTGTAAAATGACAAGTTAAAATTCATATGGAAATACAAGGGACCTAAAATAGCTTAAACCATCTTGCAAAGGAATAACAAAGTTAAAGGACTCAGACTTCCTTACATATAAAGGTACAGTCCTCATGACAATGTGGTATCGACATAGGAATTAACATAATCAGTGGAATTGAGTTGAGAGTATAGAAATCAACCCTTTTATTTGTAGTCAATTGATTTTGACAAGGGTGACAACAATTCAATTGGAGGGAGAATAGTCTTTTTAACAAATGGTTAATCTCTTAACAAAGATACTCAAACTATGTGTAAAAGAAGGAATTAGAATCCCTACCTCACACCATATAAAAAACTAACTCAAAATGGAGAAAAATTCAATGTGAAAAGATATATGGTAAAACTATAAAACTCTTAGAAGAAAGACAGAAATAAGTCTTTGCGACTTTGGATTTGTCAATGGATTCTTAGATATGACATCAAAAGCACAAGTAACAACAAAAACATATATTGGACTTCATCGAAATTAAAAACTTTTGTTTTGTAATGACACCATCATGAATTGAAAAGACAACACATAGCATGAGAGAAAATATTTGCAAATGATATATCTGACAAGAGACTTATATGATAAACAAATTAAGAATTCTCACAATTCAACTTGTTTCCCCTGGTCCATGTGGCCTATAAATAAAATTTGGGCTCCTAGGTATCTGAAGCAGTGGTTTCCAAACTCTAGTGCACCAAAGAACAGGATTGCCAGATTTAGCAAGTAAAACAGAACATTCAGTCAAATTTAAATTTCATATAAATAATGAATAATTTCTTAGTATAAGTAAGCCCGTGCAATGTTTGGGATAAATTTAACTGAGTGTCCTATATTTTATGTGGTAACCTTACCTAAGAAACACCTTGAGGCTTCTTAAATGCAGATTCCCAGCTCCAGCCCTAGAGATCATGATTCAGCAGCCCTGGGCTGGAACTCAGGGAAGCTGCTCTCTTAATCGTGGTCACTCTGACATGGGTGTCCAGGCCACATTTTGAGAAATATTGATGAAATTCTCTAAAAGGCATAAGAAGCTTCACAATAGCTTCTAGCCAAACTCAGAGCCTTTATATTCCAAACTAACACAAAACATGGAACTGCAAGTTTTGCAAAAATCTATACCTTGAAATAAAGTGTCAAATAGAAGGGCAATGGAAAGCAAAATAAAGCAAACTAATAAACAACAGCAGTAACAAAACTCTTGGAAGAATTCAACCAAGTTCCCTTTGTGACTTTCCTGCCATATTCCTGGGAAAGACGATTAGCCCCGGCAGTCTATGGCAAGATCTCACGCAACAGGATATATAGATCATTATGCATTTTTCCTCATTGATTTTCCTCAGGTGACCCAAGTTTGGACACTGCTCTAAATCAGGTTCTGAATGCAACTCTAACTGCATTCTTTCCAATACACCATGGAAAGCTGGTAACTACCACAACCATTGTAAAAAATCCCCCAGAGAAAGAGGAAAATTACTTCCACTGTGAGCCTTCAGCATAATTCATTATGGATGGATGGTGAGTGGATTTCAGGCCTACTCTACATGGTGAAATTAATTGAAATGCTGTGATGATTCATAACGCTTTTCCCAAAGTAGGCTGCATCATAACAATGCATTTGTCTTCTAATGACACTAGATTCCTCCCATTCAGCACTAACCCTGTCAGAAAGGGCACCTCCCCACTCCAACCACATTTGCAAGGATTCAAGAAAAAACCCCAACTCACTTTCCATCCACGGCCTCGACAATCTTGACATCAATCTCCTGCTCATACAGGGTGCGTAACATCCGGTCCCGCCTGTCCTTTCTGCGCTTCAGGTTGATCATGAAGATCTAACACAGGAAGAAAAAAGGAAAAGAAACACAGATTATTCAGGTCTTACTTTAGGCTGTTTTAAAAGTTAAGTAAATGTAACTACCAAAGTTTTAGTTAGAATAAGGAGTGGAAAAAATAGGGAAAATCGTGGTGAAGATTTATTTACATTCCATATCAAGTCCAATGATAGTTATCCAAACAGAATTACTTTTGAAACTGAGCCATCTGCAGTGACTTCACCCTCTCTTTGTTTCTCTGATGCCTGTTGGTAGACATGTTTGCCCTGTTCTTGAGATAAGGAAGGTTGAAAAAGTTACTCTCAGGAGGCCAAGCATGAATTAAACCCAAAACATAGAAGACTCAGAAGTAGGAGAGAGTTGGCCAAGTGTGTTAGATTTATCAGCAGACCTAGGTCTACATCCTATTACTGACTGTTTGCCTTGGCCCAATTCCTATGCCTCAGTATCCTCATCTGTAAAACTGGGGTGTTACTGGTCCTATCTCATGGGTTCTAAATATTAGCTATTCTTAGAGTTCATATCCACTGTAAATAAACTTCAAGTCATCCAAAGAATGAGAAAAATCTAGTCTTAACACATTCCTTGCATTTCCAAAGGTTCCAAACAGAATTATCAAGATCTCAATGTTAATAGCTTTGTTGCCAGAATTCTTCAATTCCTCTAGAGACAAGGAAATTTTTCTGAAAGGAGGAAAGAGAAGGGGCCCTACTCTTGGAAGTAGCCCTTTGAGGAAGAGAGAAATGAAAAGGCATCATTTCCACATCACACTAATCCTTGAAGTCCCCCAAAATATGCATTCAGATTTCTTCCCATTAGGGCTGGGTCCATCTGTAGCCCCTCAGCTTAGCCCCTAAATTCCTGAAGACTGCCCTAAACACATGCATATCATGAAGCCACTGGAGGGAGTTATGGATAGTGAGACTGTCCTGACTACTCAGATTTAAGGAGTCACAGATGTAACTAAAGACTCATCAATGCTATCACATGTAAATACGTGTATTCATGAAGTCCTTTTGCTACAAGCAGTAACAAACTCACTTTGAACATTAAACTAGTCCTCCAAGAGTGAGAGACTTCAGCTGCCAGCAAGAAATACTGATAACACATAGCATGAAAAATAAGAAACCCAGAGGAATAAGTTGGATGACACTGACTTCATCCTGACTTAATCACCCAGATGACTCTGAGGAAGACATTGAATGCTTTGGGTCCATTTCCCTTGTTTGTAAAAGAGGAAGTTGAACAACCTTCTCTCCCAAGTATAACACAGATTAAAATGTCTATGATAGGGACTCCTGGGTGGCTCAGTTGTTGAGCATGTGCCTTTAGCTCAGATCATGATCCTGAGGTCCTGGGATCGAGTCCTGCATCAGGCTCCCTGTGGGGAGCCTGTTTCTCCTTCTTCCTAGGTCTCTGCCTCTCTCTGTGTCTCTCGTGAGTAAATAAATAAAATCTTTTTTTAAAAGTCTATGATAAGGGATCCCTGGGTGGCTCAGTGGTTTAGCACCTGCCTTTGGCCCAGGGCATGATCCTGGTGTCCTGGGATCGAGTCCCACATCGGGCTCCCGGCATGGAGCCTGCTTCTCCCTCTGCCTGTGTGTCTCTGCCTCTCTCTCTCTCTCTCTCTCTCTCTCTCTCTCTCTCTCTCTCTCTTTCTATCATAAGTAAATAAATATTTAAAAAAATAAAAAGTCTATGATATGTTGTTTAGATAAAACTTGCTTCATGCTGTGTTCAGAAAAAAGAAGAAACTATGTCTTACTTTGTCTTATAACCAGCCTGGGGTTCAGAATTTACTGGGGGTGAAGCTTTGGTTCATATAGCCATTCTGAATGTAATCGTCAATATGTTTTATGTTTTACTGGATCAAAAATTACACTAAAATTTCAAACTCTTCTTCTGAAATATTCTCATTTCAATCCACTTACAAAGTTCTGGGCAAAGAAACTTATGGGAAAATAAGATGTCCTCTTTAAAGAAACTATCCACCTGATTTAGGGCAAAGTGAATTCGGTGCATCATGATGTCATTATTTCTCTTGGTTATCTGAGTAATTTTTTTTAACATAATTTCTGTGGTACCTCTGTTTGCCTTGTTACTTGGGACTTCATAACTTAATGGGTTGTATTCTTTTACATTTCATGCTTTTCCTGTTTAGAATCACACTGTGATGGGCCATGTTTCATCCCACAAGTTTAAAAGATATGGAAAGAAAAGGGCATTTCCTCATCTGAGTACATGGAGCTACCCAAGGTCACTCCAGGAGAACAAAAACAAACCCAAACAAACAAACAAAAACGAACAGAAATACAACAAAAAGTCCCCTCAAACCAGAGACCGCTAGTCTGGGAAGACTTTAGTAAATAATAATTCAGTCCCAGTTTCTTCCAGGACAAGTGCAGTAAAAGTCGTAGCCATGAAGGAAAAACACAGACAGCTTGCTCATACTTAGTGAATAGCAAACAAGAAAGAACCACCTAGCCAAATGCAGCCCAGACTCCACCACCAAGGTCATGGAGTACTGGGAGAACTGAAAAGGCCTCTGAAAATCTCCTTTCCACCATCGTATCTCTGTTCTAGAGCCCAGGGTAATCGTTTCCTGCACCTGCATCACCTCTTACAGTTGCCATTTTTCAAAAGACTTCTAGGGGTGACCCAGTCCTTACATCCAAAGGGAGGAATAGAGAGAGAAGACCCTGGTTTTGTCTCATTAGATTTCCTTCAGTTTGGTTCTCATAGGAATGTATTTAAACAGAAGAATGAATGTAGGTAAAGACACTTGGGTTCTTTCACCTAGAGATGATGAGGGTTGCAGGGAAGGACAGTTCTAGTAAGAAGTGGAAGCTGGTACAGGGAGTGATGTGGACCAGACTTTTCTGCAGCCTCAATTGTTTTTTAAAAATTATTTGCACTTGATTCTAATTCCTCTCCCCACATGAAAATCATCTCTTCTCCTTCTGCTCTCTGTGGAAACAGCATCATAGCTGCTACCTAACTCTTTTCTACTTAACATTCATGAAATGCTTTTTCCCATTACTGAAGCCCAGATCCATGTCAATTTTATAAAAGAAATACTAATGCCCATGCCAACAGCTTTAGATGGCTGTACTTCATGGACATGTATTATATAGCACAAAATGATAAAGCCTTTTCTTTCAATTGAGCTATATGACGTGAGAGACCCACAAAAGATTCAGTGACTTGGAGTCATACTTGGGGTATTCCCAAGGAGCTGTTGTGTGTAATACCAAGAGAGGTATTCTTTATAATCTTGCTTCCTTCTTCATGCAATCAAAACTTTATAATAAATATGGCCCTCGGAGTGCTATTATGAAATTCTTGCCCACTGAAAGGCAGAATTTTACAACAGGTTTCTTTTTTCCTTTTTCTTTTTCCTCTCAACCCTGTCCTCAACATTTTTCCATGGAAGAAAAGCACAGAGAAAATAAAGCACTGGCCATTCCAGAATCGTTTCTATCCACTTGGAAAAAAGTTAAGGTCCTCCAATCCTCAAAACACATATCCTCCTTACCCTTGAATCTTGATAAAAAGGTTTACAAAATATAGCAATAGCTGCTCCTAGAATATATAAAATTCACTCATGATTAAATAGTAACTTCTTTCTAATTTAAGGATTTTGCTATGATGCTCCTTAAAAAAAACTTTTTTATAGTTGAAACACAATATTACATCAGTTTCTCTCTCTCTTTCTTTCCTTCCTTCCTTTCTTTTGTAGGCTTGAACTCACAACCCTGAGTCCAAGAGTTGTATGTTGCACTGACGAAGCCAGACAGGTCCCAAATGCTCCTTTTTTAAGGTAAGAAAGCTGAGACACAACAAATACCAGGTCATTTTGCCAAGACCTCAGTGCCTTTTTAGCAGCCAAGCCAGTTTTGCTGGCTCTCAGATGTATGATCAAGCTTGCACTCCAATACAAACATGTAACCATACCATACACATGTACCTGTGTGCACATGTGCACACAGACATCTTTCCTACCTCGTCAAATCCCATCTTGTCTGGATATTTTGGGACACTTGAAACAAACTGAGAGGGTTCCACTGGAGGACCGTCAACTGGAAGACACAAGAAACACACAGAGTGCTTTGTTAGTGAAAGACTCAGTGAACAGAACTCCATCCACACAGCTGTCTAGGAGCACAACCTGGATATCTGAGGCAGGGGTTAACTGCTCAGCAGTGCTCCAGGACTGAGCAGCTACACAAGAACCCTGATGGTTTCCAGAACACTTAGACACAGACTGCAATATTTGCTCCATTTCCCTTAAGACTTATCTCCACAGGTGATGGGAGTCAGTCTAGGGTAAATGGGTAAGAGTGAAGGCTCTGGTGTCAGATGATCTGGGTCTGAACTTGATCTGTGAAGGTCTGGAAGAGTTAAGTGACTTCTCCAAGCCTATTTCTCCACGTGGAAAATCAGGATAATAAAAGCATATCTCTTAGGGTGCTGTGAAATTTAAATGAGACGTGCATGTAAAGCACTCACCACAGTAAAGCGACACAGTAAAAACTCAGTAACTTTTAAGCTGTTACTTGCTGTGGCTTATAATGAAAGACCTCGAAAGTAGGCCAGACTTCTTCTAAATAATGTGTTCTCTGTATATTTTAAAGGGGACTAGTCTGGGACTATTTTTATCCCATCCAGGCAGATTTAGCTCCAGGTATGCAAAAGGTCCTTTATTTTAACAGGAACTCGCCTTTGAGGGCCAGCCCGCATCCCAAAACTTGGGACAGGGCTAACAGGTAAATTTCCAGGTGGGAGGGACACTGCATCTTAAGCAATAAAAGATTTATTTATTTGATACTCCAAAAAAAGTTTTCACTACAAACTATACATTTGAAAGTTCGGTAGCAATGCTGAGTGGAGAATCTGGAAAGGTCTTGAAGATTTCTGGAATTGCAAATCCGAAATACTCATTTGATTTTCCTTAAAGGGGTAATACAAAGAAAACACAGTGAGAGCTGGTCGCTCGGGTGGTTTGAGGAACTGGTGGTGATGGCCATCACTATTATTCAGCAGTACCCAACTCTCCTGTTCCAGGCAGATGAGAGGAATCACTTCCTCACCCTTAAAGTTGGTCATGGCCTTGTGAACTGCTGCTTCTCAGCTCTCCAAGCCCTCTTTCCACCTCTGCCCTGGCCCACCACAATGGTCACAGTAGCAGATGTTGATAACGGAGAAGCCACACATTTGAAGCAGCCTAGAATGATGTGCCAACACATGGAGGACAGCTGCCCGGAAGGACGCCAAGACCACTGCGGACTTTGCATAGCAAGAAATACTCCATTGCTGTATGAAGCCTGTGAGTCACTACTGGATATCCCAGCACAACCTCTTCATCCTTCTGAGATACTGTCGAAAGAGTATTATTTGTTTAACTTACCCTTCCCTGGGATATTAAAGAGAAACCATGACATCCAGTTTCACTTACAATCGACTGATGTGAAGTTCTAGAAGGTAGTGAGACAGGTTTCCTAAGTCAAACACAAGAGTTGGTCTCATTACCTCAACCCTGACCCCTATGGTCACATTTCTGTGAATATACGGTGCATGTGTTTCTGTTTCCATTAGAAGCCCAGAATATTTTGTTCCTTTCTGCTCTCCCCCTTTCCTCATTAATTTTTTTAAATCAACAAATATTGATTGAGGAGCCACCATGTACAGTGTCGGGCTTTTAAGAGAAAGAAACTTAACATACAAACTCCTTTTTGTTCACAATGTTGTTTGAGGAGCTGTCTGGCTCTCCCTCGTTGGGTCTTGGGGCTGGGAGGGGGTTATATTTTGAGTTACCCTTTTCACGCTGTTGGTCTCTGTTTGGCACTCACATGGGTTGCGTGGCTTTAACATTTTGGCCAAAGAGACTGCTTTTAGCCACTTTGCTCTCATCAAACATGGACAGTCATTGCATTCACAGGACAAGTGTCCCCCACAAGCCACAAGCGGCTGGCTCCTGAAAGCCACCATTGAGCAAAACTATGAGAAATATGCCTAGGTTTTGTTACTGAAGACAGAGCTAAGCCACAGGGAAAGGCACGGAATGATACAAGTTAGACCTAAGAAATTTACTGTGCAAGGAGAAAGGATGTGTCTTTGTTTCATCAAAGTTGAAGGTTAGGTATATCCCAGTTTTGGTATGGGGTCATTTCTGACTCTGTGGTTCATAATTTATCAGTCCCTCATTGAATCCCTTCCCAGACATAGTATCTCACTGTGCCACACCAATTGAGACAGTATGTCCATTGGCTCCTGGATAGTTTCATGACCTAGGAATCATAATTATAGCTACTATTATAGAGATTTTATTATTCACTGAACTCTGAGCTACACTCTTGACATATATAATCACAGTTATTTAATTTTCACATGTACCATGGGATAAGTACAAGTGTCCCTATTTTTACAGATAAAGAAACAAAGCCTTAAATAATTTGCCCAAGGTCACAGAGCTGATGGAGCTGGTATTTGAACCCAAGTCTGACTCCTGAACCCTTTACTCCTACTCAGTCTGCCCCCAAAGCTAGTCCTTGGTAGCCATTGGCATCAACTTGGCCTTGGTGACTGGGCTGAGTTCACAGCAGCTCAGTTAGCTAAGTCTTTGCTTCTGGGTGACCAACACTTGTTGCTTTTTCTATAGTCTATGCTGGAGCACACAGCATCCAGCGTAAAAGGCACCAGCCCAGACACGTGCCCCAAAATATTTGAGAGATTGTGCTTGTACCAAATCCTAATTAAATCATAGTCATTTCAGTATAATCCTGAAGTTTTTCTGAACTTCTTCAATGGCTGCAGCCACCACCCTAGCTCAGATCCTCACTCACCATGCTTGGGATAATTTTTGTGCATATGTGATTTAATTAATTAATTAATTGTAGAGAGAGAGAGAGAGAGAGAGAGAGCATGAGCTGGTGGGGAGGGGCAAAGGGAGAATCTTAAGCAGGCTCCACATTCAGCCAATGCGGAGCTTGATTTCATGACCCTAAGATCATGACCTGAGCCAAAATCAAGAGTCAGATGCTTAACCAACTGAGCCACCCAAGCGCCCCCTTGCTTGGGCTGTTTTAAAATTTTTCTAACTCTCATGCACTCCTTACACACACTATTGCCAAAATAATCTTCAAGCACAACGCTATTCTCAACCACAACAGTCGCACCCGACATGCTGCTATTTATTAAGTGCTTTCATATTCACAACATCATTTATTTTCATTTATCTTTTGGTTATTTGTTTTTATAGATGAAGAAATTGAGACCCATCCAGACGTAGACTTGCCCACAGTCAAATAGCAATTGATGCCCAAGATCAAATAGTGAGTGATTGGTATGATTATTGGACCTTCTGACTTTATGTCCAATAATCTTAATAATCCTTAGATGACATTCTGTGGCTCCAGAATGTTGTTACTGAGAATGGGCACCTAAGATCTCCCATCACCTCAGGCTCTGGCTTGCAAGACCAATCCCCTCATGCCTCATATAACCCATGGGCTTCTCTCACCTTTATAAGATCTAGCCTCCTGTCATTCATCCTGAAATTTTCTGTACAGGAAGCACATTCCCAAATTTTCGTATGGCTCCTAACATATGAAGTGAGTAGGTATGTGTAGAGTGATGGGCACAGTGCTTCCGGTGTGCCGTAGTTGGTGCTCCACCCCGTCTCGCACCCTACCACAGCTCCTCACTCTGCTCTTTGAAGCTCCAGCTGTAATTCATCAACTCTTTGACATTGCAAGTCCCTTCCTTTCTCTGAATGTCTCTTCATCTTTTTATTTTAGCCAAAACCTGGCTTTCCTTGGAGGACACTGCTTCCCTTTCACCCCTCAGAGTAGAAGTTGACTTTTCTCATCTCCCCTGACTCACTCCCAAACTGTTTCCCTTCCATCCATCAAAACCCCCAGCTTCTTTGAAGTGTATCTGAGCACCCTCTGCCCCATAGTCACGCCTCCTCAGCCACTGATGATGACAGCCTTTGGCTCACAGTCTCGCTGTCCCTGCCATCATTCTTAAAACTTTAGCATCAGCGTGGTGATGTACCCAACAACAGGGCTTCTAGGTCCTGCACGAACAATCGTTCTTTCAGTGACCCACTACCATGTCTGCATCCATCACCTCTTTCATGTCTTCATGCCCATTGGTACCCAACCTAGATTTCTTGGGCTGGCACTCGAACTACCCCTTGTAAAGACTTTTTTTTCACCATATCATTATTTTTAATGTCCAACATTTATAATATGAGGGCCAGGGCTTTCTCCTCAACTCAAGTTTATAAATTTTCAATTGGCTTGTGAGGCCAATAGGGATACTTCTTGTCTAATTTGGTTTCTGGGAAGACTTCATTCAGGTCATCAATGGTCATCTGATCAAATGGAATTATGTTCTTCATCTTCTCCATCTCTTTTTCATATTCTTCAATCCTGGCCTTTGACAGGGACAAAAACTCAGCACAGCTTTTCACATCTTCTTTTTCCTCAGCATCCACCTGAACAGTGTATTTATCCTCTGGCACAGGAAACTTCAGGGCATTAAACTTCTTCTCAGAGTCATCTACCAAGCCAGCCTTTGCCACATTGGCCTTGTAGTAAGCCCAGTAGATAGCAGGTGGTTTCTCAGGAAGAGTAGCCAACCTGGAGGTAAGCATCTCATTCCAGGATTTCGGGGAGTTGGCAATGGCCTTCTGGTTTCGGGGTATGATCTCCCCAAAAGCTACCCAGTCAATGGTTTTTAGAGCAAGTTTTCACCCAGCCATCATGAGATCCTTCACCAACCCCGGCGGCCCACAGTCCACAGCCCCTTGTAAAGACTCTTGATTTGCTTCCATTGCTCTTGCTTGGTAAAATCCTAATCCTGCTTAAACTTGGTTATCCACTTACTTAGCACCAAGAATACTGCGAGAGAAATTCACACAATTGTGTTGACTGAATCAGTTTAAAATTACAACCACAGATGTCACATTGGCACTCAGCACTGCCAAATGATGCAACTATGCTTCCATAGTAAATTTGCTTTCCCACTCTCCAAGAGATCTGTTTTATGCCTTGTCCTCTCTCCTGACACCTCC